AAGTTATTACGATAGCCGGCCTGCGGGCAGCCTCCAGCCGCTGCTCTTGTGGATTTGTAGAAAATCGACCACGAGTCGGATACTCCTTTCCTACGATGGGAAGAATAGGAGGGCGAGGTGCTCAAGCGGCGCAACATGAAGCATGCTCGAACTTTACGGACATCACGTCAGTTTCGCGACCTCTCGACTTTCGGGGGAAGTGGCATCAAGACCAATCACCTCGACCAGGCTCGACGAGGTGATCCGTCGACCGTGGCGAGCGCGGTGTGCGGCTATCAGCTGCCGAGGGCTTGGGATGCGCTTCATTTGAAGCCGCGGACGTGCAATCCGCAGTTGTACAGGGTGCAGGAATGAAGAAGGGCTCTTCCCGCGGGCGCTCTCGGAACCAGCGAGGCTGCGTGTCTTTCGAGTCCTAGACACAGCGCACATTGAGCAAAAAATGCGTGCAGAAAGTCCTGGGGACGTAGAGGTGTCTTAGTCACGCGAGCCTCGTATCAAGTGACGATTAATTATAAATTGTGGGTGTTCACAATTTTGGTGGAGGAGAGTGTAACAGGGTTACCCGTAACCTGAGTAAAAGGGGTGGGTCACAAAAGATGGTCTGACCACACAATGTTGTGGCCACACCTTGACAAGAGGCCAATACGTGGCGGGACTGCCAGTACTTATGTACTTTGATTAGGTCTTACGGTTTAATCAGGAAACCTATAGATGTAGGTATAGGCGACTCTACCGCAAATAAAACAAAGAAATACAGTTAACATTTTGAATAAAAGATTTGTTTGCCTTGGGCTAAGGTTGTGGACACTCTTGAAGTAAGCGAATTGTGATCCGCTACACATTAACTGGTTATAGAACTTGGCTTCCTTTAAGCGAAAGAGCTCCGGTAGCTCCACTGCGTACATATTGTCATGTTTATATGAATCACATCTCGATAAGTTGTCCACAAATGAGAGGGCGCTCATCGCACCAGGTTGTTGCGTAACCCCCTTGATAGTGCTGACATTCCACTAGTTATGTGCCTATCGGTATTTTGCTGCGCGGCGATCCCATTGACGTTT